TCCTTCCTTCAGTTTCTTAAACCAGGAGCAATTTCACTTTTAAATATTAATGTGTAATCTGGTAATGTTCTGTAATGTAATCTAGTTTCATCTGTATCATAAATTTTGTGTAGCTTTGCGTATTCATTTAGCAGCCCAAGTTAAATTTGTTTTATCCAGTTTTCAGCCACATGATGATATGGCCCTTCCTTCTCACCTTCCAGTTTCTGATGAAGAATGCCTAAATTAAGGTGACCAGACATCCCGATTTAGGCGGGACAGTCCGGATTTCAGACTTCATGTACCGAGGTCCCTCGCTTGTCCCGGTGGGATGCCTGTTTGCCCCGATTTTCTGCAAGAGAGACTCTTAACATCAATTAACTCAAATTGGACACCACAGTGCATTGGCGACGCCTTGCTGATGCTTGCTTCCGATAAAGCTATGATATCATGACTCAGAAATGCGGGCGGCGAAAGTGTTGGTGGTTAAGGCAAAAAAACAGCTTGCGCGAAATATCTGTCGCCAAAGCTTCAAGCCAGCATCGAAGTTCAAAGGTCACGTTTACAAAGAGTGCATAAAATGAATATCGTTTTAAATTTCTTTAAACTTTAGAGGAAAAGAAAATATTTTTCACGCAAGTAAATTAATTAATGGATTAGTTATTTTGAGCAAAAAAAGTGCGAACATCGGAGTTTAAATTTTCCCTCCGCTTTCCAGCGAATAGCAAACTGGTTTACATTATGTTCTATGGAACCTTTTCTTCTTACATAGATGTTCTTTCGCTAAGGTGGTGTGTGCGCGCAATTGTCGTGTTTCGGTGGTTATTTATTTTTTTCTTATGTGAGTGACATTCTTGGGAAGAAACTGCTAGGTATTTATTGGTTGTGCTGCTCATATAGTCCACAACGCAATCCAAACAGCAAGAAATTGCTTACAAAATTGATGTGGAAGCAGTTATTATGAAAATTTATTATTATTTCTATATCTACACTGTTCGTGTTGAGTCATTCACAGAATTTTGCAACTTGCCTGTGTAGAGTACCAGCGCGTTTTAGGATATTGGAAAACTAGATGTTATCACTGATGCCTGCAGTAGACAGAGTTTTAAAATTGTTTCCTGCACTCAAATCCTATTTCTTGTCGGAAAGGAAGTGCCATACTCTAATCCGCAACTTTTTTGAGAATCCCTGTGCTGAATTGTGGCTCTATTTCATACAAAATATCGCTGCGGTGTTTCAAGCGACAATTCTGTACATAGAAGCACAGACTGTAACAGCATTGGAAGTATCTTCTGAACTGGGTGATTTAATACATAAATGCACTGAGAGAAGCGCAAAAAACTTTTTGCCAAATAAGTATGTATGCTGATTACCCAATTAGAAGAGGAAGGATTGGTGAGAAAAAATGACATTATCAGAACCATTGTAAATTTTTACAACTGTACTGGATATCCGAAAGAGAGGGTTGAGCAATTCGAAAATATAAATGCATTTAGTTGGGTTGTGTTAAAGGAACCACCAACATGGGAAAAAGTACAAGAGAGCGTGCAACTTTTTGGGTGGAAGATTTCGAAGGTTGACATCAATAATAACAAGTTATTTCATGAAGACATTAGGCGATTTACTTCACCACAAAAGATTGCAGATTGGAATTGTCAGAAAACTAGTCTCGACTGTCATTGAGCTGAAATTTTTCTTCATTTCAAGGATAAAAATGTGCCACATGCGCAAATCCAGAAAACTGTGGAGTTTTTTATGTGTCTTCCAGAGACAAACGCTGCCAATGAAAGAGTTTTTTCTTCTATGAATATCATATGAACAACTGAAAAAAGCACAGTTGAAACTGGAAACACTACAAGCAATGTTAATGGTGAAGTGCAATTTTGAGTTTGACAGTTCCTGTGATGAAGTATATGCAAGACTTCTACAAGAGCCAAAACTTCTTAGAAGCATTCATTTGTCAATGAAATACATCTACGGAGCACCTACACAGGATGATCCTTCTAGGTCAGCGGCTGATCAAGAAGGACTATCGTCCGTGTCGAATTAATACATTTGCGGCGTCATGTGCTGGATGGACACATTCAAGCAGTAAGGTAGGTAGGAAGTTACAAACATTTAATTTCTGAATGCTTTTCTTTTTTATTCTTTGTTCGCTCTTACTCTTACTGAAAGCGCGTCTGAGTTGTCTCAGTCCAGATTCCAAAGTCCATGATTGTTGATTTAATAATTAATTCAGTCTGAGATACAGATAAATTATATTTTTTCTTTCAATAATACAGTCTGTTTAACACACACGCTAATTCGCAAATGATAGGTGATTCTTTACAGGACAATGTGACTCACTAAAAATTTTGCACTCTGAATTTTCACCTTCAAAGAGGACTTCTGCCCTCTCCCACCTTCCCCCCAGCACCCACGTTTGGATCTCTGCGTCCCGCTTTGCCCTCCGGAAAATCTGGTCACCTTACCTAAATTGCTCTTTTAACAATTTATTTTTCTATGCTTAATTTTTTGGGGGGGAGAGCTTGGTATTTACAATATGTTACAAACACACAGAAAATTAGGGGGGATGTTTCTTCCAGTGATTTATTCAAATTCAGAAAATTATATTTCTAGCCATCAGAAAGACTGCGTTATGTCTGTTTATTTTAATATATCTGCCACATCATGAATATAAGCATAATCAATGCTTTCTTTGATTTTCTTCAGCCTACTGCTACCACTTCCTTTCTTTAATGCACAGTAGTTATGTACACCACTATGTGTAAGACTTAACAGACACTAAAACAAAGAAATATTTCATGAATTTGTTCACAGCTTTCTGTGAATATAAGAAAGTCTATCTTAAAGCGAAGATTTTTGAATGTGGATCAAAAGATGGGATAAAGAAATTACACTTCCACCACCTACCAGGCATTAGTCACAAAGGAACCCTCACTCATTTGCAATGCCACTACAACAGGGGTCTCCAACTATGGTCTGCAAACACCACTTACCCTGCTTGCCAAAGATTTTTTTAAATAATTTTATAAAATTTAAAATAAGCAAGGTAATATATACATTAACTAGTTTATATAATGAGCAATCTATAAATACTTTGCTTGTCATGCATGATTTATAAAAAATTTTATAAACACTATACAACCATTCCTAAATTAACGATAAGTGAAATACAGAAACACTGCATTAAAAATTTTTATCATTGCACATTTTACAAGAACAAAAGTTTCGTGTGTTATCTTTACATACTTTCATAGTAATATTATATTTGTTCACAGAAATTTCCAACAGTGATTTTGTTTGTATCTTAATTTTTGTTAATATTGCAATTTATATTAATTTTTTTTTTTTTTTTTTTAAACACAAAACGTTTTCAAAATATTAAATACCTCCAACAGAAAGTTTGCAGCTGATCAAAATATAACCAAAATGCACTGATAAATTGTTACATTAAGGATGTAAATCCACTAAAAGTTACATAGCAGAAATCTCTAATGTTCTGAGAAAAGATTATTTCTGCAAATGTTGAAACAGTTTCAAGAATTTTATGTCAAGAGAAGCTGCAGAAAAGTCTAAAAAGAAGTCTCTTCATGTTACCACAGAGGTACAGATCCAATTGCAAAAATTTTGATGCCTTGTTTAAAAACAAGTGTTATGCTATTCATCATAGTTACATCACCATGGCATAATGGACTAACTAAGTCCTAGCCCTCCAAACTTCATTAAAGAGCCAATATGGCCCATGGACTAAAAAGCTTAGAGATTCCTGATCTAGAGGACTGCTTTTGTTAACATTCAAACAATGAAATTTTGTCTTTCTGAAGTCCATTGTGGACAAAGAACTCCGAAAACAATACCTCACATGTACAGGAGCCGAAACGGGAAAATTTCAACCAAACCTGTTTTACTGAAGCACTACACACCTAAATGATTACAGAAATGGTCCTCCAATAAATTAAATGGATGAATTACAAAAAGCTTTGATGGGCACAAGTAAAATATTCTGGTACTGAAGAATAAGTCTTTTGCCCATCTGAGTTTAACAATGACAAATGACAGTTTGTGTCCATTACTGAAAATCTGAATATAATGAACAGTTGTGTTTATTAATCAGAGAGTTTTAATAAGTGGCAGGTACTATGCACAGTACAGCGTAAGCTTAGCATTTTTGATAATAAATTAATGTTATTAACTTTTTTTTAATTCATCAGGATAGTTTACAATACAAAATTCTTTTGATACCTCTTGATATGTTCTGAAGTTGAGAGTTAATGATCATATTTTCCTTTTAAAAATGAATTTTGAAATTTTCATACCTAATTTGGTGCATCTTCTAGTACAAGTATAATATTCCAAAACTGAAGAATAATTCTTTTGCCAATCTGAGTTTTATTCCAATGTACATTCCAAAGTAATGAAAAAAAAACCCTCCATTATTCCTTTACGCTTTGTTATGATGGAAACAAATGTACTCAATGCAAAAAGAAATATAACCAGAAAAATTATAGCAAAATATCAAAAGTCCAAATCCACCTATATGTATACCTCTGCACAAGCTATATGCATGCCTGGGTAAGCCACATAAATACTTTTTGGCAGTATGGTGCGTTGTCACATTAATATTTCTTTGCAACTTTTCAGTGGACATGTAGAAGCACATTGATCATCATTTCTTTTTACTGCTCCAAGCATCATATTGCTATTGGATCAGTTTTGTTAAAAAAACTGTGAAGATAACAGTAATATATAAAAATGAATCTCGTATCTATCTAATACAAAAATAAACACTGGACTTGCTCCGACACATTTTGCACACAAACATATTAACAAATCAAAGTTTATAGTATACATATTGCAAATTTTGTTATAAATGACCAAGAAATAATTTGCTTATATAAAACTTAATGTAAATATAATTTTATATATTCCTAAGAACACTTTCCAGTTTGTATTTTATAGTTAAATATAATAAACACGAACTTAAGATAATTATAAGTTGTATAATAAATAATGCTTACAGGTCCAACGCAATTTAAAATAACTTTTGCTTTTTTGCACATATCATTAATAGATGATGGATCTTCAACATCAGCTTTGATGATTGTTGTTTCTTGTATATTTAGATCTGAAAGAGCAAAATTAAAATTATACATCCATTGACAAGGAAGAAGATATTGAGATGGTTACAAGAAATCTGCAGTCATGGCTGGTTGATATGTTATTTAATTATGGAATAGCATTATCAAGGTTAACATACATCTAAACTAGTGCGAGAGGTGTGTCTATTATTTTGTAATTATAAGTGTATATTCACATATTCATAGCACTATAATTTGTGATGATGAGAAACAAGACATATATTAACAAGATAGACAGGCATGAGAAAAGGGAAGACTGTGCTATGAATGTTATATTAAGAATAGTGAATTGACTATATTTCTCAGTTTAAAGGTACAATATCATTTAATTACTTCTATTTGCCTGATATGTTTCTTTATTCATGACACAGCATTATCGGTGCAAACATATATCTAATGTGAGAGGTATGTCCATTATTTCATAATTACAAATATAAATTCACATATTTAGAGCATTGCAACTAGTGATAAAGAGAAGCAATAGACTGGTACCCCTTGGCGAAACTTGGCGATTTTTGGCGGTACATGGATACTGATTTTGTGAAATTCTTTGACTCGTTATTTTAGCTCGCGAAGCGGCAATTTTTGCACCAAAAATCGCCACTACACAAAGCCAAAATACAAGACAAGCAATTGCACAAACTCGGTATCCATGTACACATCGACTTATTTTCACTTTAAAAAAAATCCCCGAATTGCACAAAAATTGCATTGCGCACTCCTCTACTTTTTATCCCATGACACATCGACCTATTTTCATGTAAAAAAAATTCCTGAATTGCACAAAAAACTGGGCATTGCGCATTGACTTTATCCATGCACCCCTTACATTGTCTTATGTCCACATCGATATATTTTCCTTAAAAAGTCAAAGGAGCACCAAACCATTAGGCAACAAAAAATACATATACTCAATAAACACATTTTAAACCAACATAAAATAACATAAAGGAAACATTTATACTTTAAGCACTATTAAAAACAAAGTTCACTTACATAATTTTCGAATTCGCTTCGTACACCCAGAGCCACGAAAAACAAAAAATCAATCACTCAAATGATTTTTTCAAAACAGGTACTCTTTCTGATCGAACGCTTCACATAGTGACCAAATGAACCTTTCTGCTACAACCCATTCAAATCCATCTAAACGGTTTTTACGTCAACTAGACGCATATCTTTCCTACATACAGAACACTATAATGGCTACTAAGTAACCTTCATTTACACACCAGTCATTAAAGCTCTTTTCCCCCTTTTGCTCAAAATCGACAGAAAATTTCAAATTAATCTTTTTACATTTGGCCCTTCATACCGTCTAAAGAACAAACAAACACACCACAAAATGCTTACAAAACATCCCATGATTCAAAATTTCCCAGAATCGTGCACCCGATTACATCACAGTAGGGTTTCCATAACATTCAACTACTCAGGCTACCATAAATGAAACAACAACTTGGCGATAAATCAAACAACAACTTTTATATAATACAAGGGGTACCTTAAAGTCTACTCTATCCGACTGCACATTACCAGGGTTGAGGCAGGAATGAGAAGAATGAAGACTGTGCTATTAGATGCTAATGTTTGATTAATAACAGTGAATTTACTACATTTCTCAGCAAAGGTGTATAGTATTATTTAATCATGAGTAGTTACCATTCAGAGGTAGAAAAAAGTGTCTATTCAAACTCAAACACCCCAGCTTCCACCAGAAGGTTGTCCAACACCAATTAGGAATGGAAGCGGGCTGATGTTGATGACAGCTCAGCAAAAAGTTCAACTGATATTCTGATATCCATGAATCATATTAGTCCATCCAGAGCAAGAAAAATGTCAATGCAAGCTAATGTGTACTTCATGGGAGTCTTGTTTTTATTTCTCAACAAAACTAGTTGTCCTACTTTGAGGTTGGATTTTGGTTGATTCTATTCTTGATCGTGTCTGCAAGCGCTTGAGGTATCCCTCACTCCAACGGCTCCAGAAGTTAACTCTCTAAGTTTCTGAATTAAGGTGCATCTGCGACAGAAGGAAAATAATATATGATGCAATTTTAATTCGAGTATCAATAAGAGTGGAGCTCTTATTAGGAAATGATATGCAGTTAAAAGCAGAAGATATGAAAGAGCAGAGGTAGGTGATGATCGTAGAGAATTCAAGCAAACTTCTATTTACGTAATTAGTGTATAAAGCTCTTCAAACTAGCAGCTTTTAATACATTTTTAATGTCTTCATATACAAAGCTTTGTTTTTTCTTCACTGCCATGTATTATATCATCCTCTGTACACGCCTTTGTTCAATAGGTTTCTGATTCATTTCTTCAAAGGTATTCATGTGGTATATGATTGTAGCAGCAGACAAACATGAATCATCCTAAGCACTTTTGTATTCAAATCTCCATCTTCATCTACAACATTATTTGTCAAAAAAAAACCTTACAGCATTTCTATCTTTAGGTAACAGAGAAATCTGTAGAATGAATTGTTCAGTGTCAGCAGCAAAAGCTATATTATGTATCAGAAATTGAAATGGTGGATTTAAATTAGAACTGGAATACAGACAATCATTTTAAAGAATATTAGTTTTTCAAATGGCTGGATGCATGAAACACAACTCAGTTTGCCAAGTCAAACAACTGGTTGTCAAAGCCTGTAATAAATTCTCCAGGTTTCTTCAGAATTTTAATTAATTTCCTTAGCTATACCCATTTTTAAATTCTGTGATATAACTGTGTGATACTGCTGATGAAGCAGTGGATCGTTTTTCAACCTTTTAATCAGTTTATTAAGATGAGCTTCTGCATTTACATTATATGTTTTAAATTCAATGAATTTTCTTTCCAAGGTAATTTAACCTCAGTGTCCTTTAAATTTGACAGTTCTGATAAAATTCTCCCAAATATCATTATCTATTTTACACTTTCATTTCCTTGTTCAACTGCCAGTTTTCTAACTCCCTGAACTGCCTTAACTGTGTTGAGATCAATCCCTTAACAACAATGTCCATACTTACACCATCAGAATCAATTTGTCCTTGAAAAAAACCATATGGACTAGGTTTCAGATCGTACGTTTATTTTTATTTTTTTTTATTTATTGTTTGTATTTTTATTTTTTTTTTTTTTTTTTTTATGTTTAAATCTACCTGCAATTACTTCATGATAATAATCTGCACCAATCAGAATAACAATAACTTTGTCACTGCATTCAAAATAATCAGCCAATTGCAATCTTCTTAACTCTTTATTTTAGAGATGGTAATATCAGGAAAGGCTAAATTAGTTGCACATATTTGGTCAGTTTCTTCAGCTTTGGGATTGTTCATTGCCATTTTCAATTTTGACTTTCATAGCATTATATGTTTGTCCTGTTGCCTAATTAACTCCATTGGTGGCATAACTTTACTTTTACCTGATTTTACATCAATGATAGACACAGAGATCTGTTATTTTTTATTACATATTTAACAATTTGTTTTCTTAACATTCTTTTATTCTATACTGAGGTTTAAGGGATAAAAAACAAGTTTATTCCCACCCACATTTTTAATTTCATGCAGTTCATCACAATATACATAATCATTTTTAATAACTGGAGCAAATATTCATAAGTTTTAGGCAAACTTTTATTAAAGTATTTATTCTGCTTGTTGTTTACATGATCGTGCATGGAGTGGAAATGATTATTTGATTAATTATGTTTCCAGTGATGAATCACTTCCATTGGGTGTTTTGTTTTTATTTCTCCACTGACATTCAACTGCATAGCTCATTCATGATTTCTGGTTACTTCACGAATAAATTCCATTAGATTTTAACATGTCATGTTTGCCAATTTATAGCTAATTAATTTTACTTTTGATAATGAATCATTGTGAACAGCAGCCTTATACTGACCTAAAAATTCCAATTACTTGAATCACTAAAATTTGTTTATCTGTTAGTCTTGGTAACTTAAAAGTATTTGCTTTAAGAACAGCAGTTGATTCAATAACTTTGTTAGGATTTATAATAGAATTTAAATTTATTACTTTTATTAAATAACTTTTATTGAAAATGAAATTATTCTCAACA